GCTGTTGTCTTTTGGATAATATGATAAATTCGTGATGTTAAGAAGATATTAAGAAGGCACAGCAACTCTTTTCTATCCTCAGTGCTGAGCACTCTTCTTTATAAGAAAGATTCCTCAACCAAGCATGCAATGAATATGCCAAACAAGACTTCAGTACAGGTGATCTAAATGAATGGCATGGTTTTACATACAAACAAACAGACAAACACCAATTATTCCTCCTCAGTCAATTACACCTCTCCTGGACTCTCAAAGAAAAGCTGTCTAACCAGCTGTCAAGCCAGGAACCAATGCAGAAAATTACCTCCATAATGTGTAGGACCAGAGACAAACTGTTTCCCAGAGTCCTCACTGTTTGCAAACTGTCTGGACCTCAAATTGCAAGACTCATCCTCTCACCTTATCTTCCAGGTATTTTCAGCATTTTTCCACCAATCCTGCCTGACTCTTCAGGCATACAGTGGCTGTGCATGGAATGCCTTTGCATCCTGGGAAAAGGTATAATAAATTGTATGAGTCAAAGGCAACTTCTTGAGGACCTGATTTATTCTGGATCCTTTTGGAAAGAAGAGAAAAAAACACTTTCTGAATCAGTTCGCTTTTGAAAATTAATAAACCTTTTGTTGTCCGCTCATATTGTACACTGAGGTGCAGTAAAATAAAAAAAGGCAATACCCTGAAGAAAAACTCAGAGGCTTTATTTAAATGCATAATCAAATTTGTTTGCTTTGAAAGAACAGCAACAATGTAATGTATATCTGCTGCTAAGTACATCCTTGTCCAGATTTGATTTATGGGGTTGTTTCTGGATGTTGACTCAGCCATTGTTAACATAATGTCCATCATTTTTATATCCATGCTGCCCGTGGGCACGCACTAGCGCATCAGCGTGAAAGAAGTGTGAAAGAAAACTGGTAGCAGTTCCCAGTGCAGGAAACTTATTTCCCTGAAATAACAGAGGTTAGTGTGCAGTGAGCTGTAGATCATTTTAAGGCGAGAAGGTCTGTGTAACTGGAGGAACTGTGTCAGGAGGGAGAAGGCAACCATTTATTCCTGTAGCTTATTAACCTCTTGAGGGCCATGTGCAGTATGCAGACATCATCCATGGTCTGCTGGTGTGTGTATACATGATGTGGCTATCAAATTACCTGAAGAAAAATGCAGCCACTTCTATTGCCTGCCAGAACACATCAGGAGATACGCTGTGAGCTCAGGCTGCCTGGGCTTTTGAAGGTAGAAGTTGAACTTTGTGAAGAATGCTTGTACGAATGGTTGTGTAAACATTGTATGTAATTCATTCAAGATGTCTGTGTAATTCACACAATAATTTTGTTCAGTATACAGAGAAGGGTTTCTCCAACCCCTGTGCTAGGCAGTAACTCCATAGCATATGAGAATGGGCATCTTTTAAGAGATACAGATAATGGAGGGTTTTTAGGTAAACAAAACATTCAGAAGTTGCCGCAATTATTAGAGATAAACACAGTTCTCAAGGGAGGTTTTATGGGTATAAACAAAAGACATCCTTGTTTGTCTTTCACGTTCATTTCAAAATTGCACTTAATTACTAAATCCTTCCCATGTGAGTTTTGCAACTTGTGTTCTTTAACCAGATGCTATAGCCTATTTTTTAGTGCACATAGTTTCATAGTTGAAGTTTAGGGATATCTGCAGTGGCATTTTTAATTCATTTACTTTGTAATACAGTTTAACCGAGAGGCACTGTATGACTTGTATCATAACTTGTCAACATCAATATTTTATATTTACGATTTAAACTGAAATTTACAGTTGTCAGTAAAGATGTAATATGTTCAGTGTATTACTATAAAGTCATTCACATAAATCCTTAATTTTGTCTTAAAACTGTATCTTGATTTTGTGTCAGCTGGTGGATCCCATATGCTAGGAATGGCTCTGCTTCTGGGGGATTCAGGTGCAACTGCTGAGATGAGGGCAGATTTTGAGTGTTCGCTCTTGGCTGTCTTTCCTTTTGCTCTTTTTTAATCAGCCTTTTTCTCTCCATTTCATATGGTTGTGCTTTTCTTTTTTGTTTGATTGTGGGAGGAGAAAGAGGAAATGCTGATGAGATTATACTAATTTGAGGTGTGTTGTGCTCAGAGAGGGGCAGAGTCTTAGTCCAATTTTATGCAAGACACCATCATAACAAGGTGTTCTCTGTACATTATTGAGGGTGTCATAGTAATCTATCATGGGGCATAACAATCATCTGATTAGTCCTGTGATTCATAGACAAATCAATTATTACTGAAATGACCTAAAGGATGTGATTTAAACGTGATATTCTTTTAAGTCAACATCCAGAGTTTGTGTGTGGATAGCCTGGATTGAGGAATTCAGGCTGTTCTGTCAGGAGCCCAGTTTTGAAAATACATTTGCTACTACTCTTTATCGGTATTATGAGCTTCTTCCCTTACGAATGAAAATACAGGGTAACACAATATTGTGGGTAATCTTTTTTGCATAATGTACTGTAATACAGTGCTCACCTGAAGCATCAAGTCATGTTTTAGAGGCACCTGTCTGTTGATGACTAAATTTGAATTGAGACTCACGACGGCCATACAGAACAATGCATAGCAAGGTTGATGGTTGAATTCAGAAAATATGTTTCATAATAAGAAGTTCTTTTTTCCACCTGATGCATTTGTGCTATGGCAAGTATTATTTGTGCTACTGAAATGATCTGGTAATCCAAAGGATAAAACAACCACTTCTTCATAATCCAGCATACAGCTGCTTGTTGGGACGTGGGCCAAACCTCCACCTTCAGACCATCCACAGCAACTATATGTAGGAGTTTTAAAGACAGTGTAGGAGACTGTAGATGATGATTTAACTGAAGAAAACAGATATTACTTAGATAAAAGTTAGTGGGAGCAACTACTAATTTTCATTGTAAAAAGGTAAAGTTTTTGTACTTAAAAACTTAAACTTACTACCTGAAAGTAGTGACCATTTGGGGGCAAAGATGGAAATAGGAAAGATGGAAAGTTGAGAAACAGATAACACAAGTTTAAAAAGTGGATTTATTTTAAGAGTGCTTTGTTATACAGGAATTAAACTGAATGCTAGCCATTTCATAGCAGCTCTGTATAAGTGAAAAGAAATACAAAAGCAAGTCTACCAGTTCCTCTACATGTCACTGCCACTGGGTAACTGTTCACACCTACACTAATCACTCCTTCAATGGGCCATGAAATCGTTCCAGCTTTTAAAATGTGTGAGAGAATTAAGGCAGGTGCTGACACATCATAAATGAAAGCCTAACCTTCAGGCTGGTACAGTAGTGGCGTTGTTACTGTTTGCATTCTCGAAAACACATGGCTTGTCAAGTTGCAAGAAAATTATTTTGTGCTTTTATATTGTTAAAACTCAGTGGGGTCTTTGGACTGCCCATGAGAACCATGATGTTGGAAATTATATTGATACTCAGTACATAAAGATGGGGTTTTTTGATGTTACTGGCTTCGTGTCACTTAATAGCTGTTGGATTACTTAATAAGGAAGAAACTTGCTAGAGAATGTGCTCCCACATCTGCTGTTGGAGAAATCAAATACTGAACCATTGATGATCAAAAAAAACCTTAACTACTTCTCTGAAAATCCTCTCATAATACTACTACTCGTAAAAACAGCAGACAAAGTGATATTTTAATTTCACAGTGGAACAAATGCTCAGGGTTTTTTCATAAGAGGAGATGGAAAAATAGAGAAGAGAGAGAGTCATCTTCAGTTCATCGATATTTTTCATGAGCTCTTATTTAAACCTGAAATCCACTGAATTGCTGCAGAGCTTCTTATCTCAAGAAATCATTACTGTTCTCTCAATGGAATATTTAATCTTCAGTTTCTTATGAGATTTGTCTTACAAATAAAACTGTATTGAATCTCACTACCTTCAACCAATTGTCAAAGTTTCTGTACTCTCTTTTTCAAAAAGTTAACGGATTGTCAAAAGGAAAACACCACTACTGTATGTGAGCTTCTATTAAAAGTTCAGATGAAATTACTTAAATCATTATGAGTTTTAGAAAACTTGCTAACAATAAGGTAATTTAATTACTCTAATTAGTGATTTAATCACTGTATAAAAACTGCCTTGGTTTTTGTGTCACATTTAGCCCTATATGAAAATCTTTTAATGCAGCGTTAGGGAATTAGAATTACCCTGGTACTGAATAAAACCAACATATTCTGTTGTGTATCCAGAATTGCACGTATTATCTGAATATACCTTTGCTCCTGATTGCAGAACTAAAATATTTTCTTTATTTATGGTTTGCCTTAATATGTAGGAAGGACAGCAGACAATTCAATAGGGCTGTTAACCTCTTCTTGTTTCTTTCTCTCTCCTACATCATTTTCCAAAAGTGGGCACACATTTATGTTTTCAAACTGTATTTTGAGGTCTCTTTTGGTGTCACTTTTTTGGTTTTATACCCAAGATCACCTTGTCCGCTAGTGCTGTGCAATTTGTAATATATTCCAGTGACAGTCCCATGAGGTAATGTTATTTTCAATGGTGTAGCTAGGGAACAGGCACAGAAGAGTAGGAGCAGCTTTCCTGTACCTAACTCCGCCTAGTCCTTTAGGCTTCCTTTAGTCATCTGCAGTTAAGGTGATGTATCATGCCCCCCCCAACCCGCCCAGTGACTTAGCTTGGATCACACTGAAGTCTGTGGCAGGCAGTACTGTATTGAACTCAGATCTTCCAAGAGCTACATTAGCACTCTTTTTACTGGAACCTCCTTTCTGAAATAAACAAATATATTTACCTCCTTTCTGAAATAAACAAATATATCATGCTGAAGTACAGTGATTTGAATACTGCTCCTTCATGTGGATCAGCAAGAAGCATAAACCTTACGATTATCTTATCACCATTTTAAGGGTTTTGATATTTCTCTTATTAAATAATTGATAATGTCATCCATCATCTTGGGTTTCACAGTTCCTATACTGATTGTTTTCCACAGATACTACACTCTCAGGGGAAATCGGCACCAAGAAAAAAGTGAAAAGACTGTTAAGTTTCCAGAGGTATTTCCATGCATCCAGGTTACTGCGTGGAATTGTACCACAAGCCTCTCTGTACCTACTGGATGAGGACTACCTTGGGCAAGCAAGGGTAAGACAGGTCTCCAGATCTCCATTTCCTTTAATATTACAGAGAGTGTCAATTTTGTTTCAGTCTTCAGATAAACAAATTTATGGGTGATCTTTCTTAAATGACCCACATTACATTGCCCACCTCACAGCAAAAAGACTGTCCATTCCTCTTTTATGGTCACAGCTTTAAAAGGCTCAGGTCTCAAAGCAACAAGAAAATGTCTAAATCTATTCGACGTTTTCAGATTCCAACAACTGAAATTATGATCTGGATTTATTAAAGGATGGAAGGATCTCTGGCTAAGTTACTGATTTAAGTAAGTGCAGCCTTGACACGGGATTTAGTTCATCCACTTGAAAAAAAACAGGTGTCTCTCAGCTGATATGGAATCCATTAGGCAACCCACAATAGCCCCTCCATAATGGCAAAGGCTAGGAAACAGGGGACATTTACTGCAAAAAACTTCACAACGATCAAAACATAATTATCTAGTTTTGCAGCTCTTATACTCGCTTTGAATGGTATTTTCTAACAAAACTTGCACAACTGATGGCATTGGGATTATATGCCTAGGCAGTTTCTCTTCTCTGCAAGAAAACATTATGTACCAGGTGTTGGAAAGTAATGAAGAATCCAGAACGAGTTTGGATATAGACTAAGAGATGGGAGTGAATACATATTTCATTCACACATGTGCCACTGCAGGTCATACAGCTGGTCCAGACTCAGTCTCTTGACTGAACTGACGTAGCTGTAAAAACACTGTATATGGTGGTAATGATGGATTCTTCTGCATGTGTGGGTGGGCTTCACAGTAGCACTGATGTATGTAAGTTTATAAAAACTGTTTCTGCTTATTGGTTTGTTTAGCTAATTGTAACTCATGTTCACCATGAGAACTAAGATTTTAATACACTGTATTAAAAGCCTAAGAAAATTTGCACTGATTTTTGGGACATGAAAGAAAAAAACAGAATTTGTGTACTAAAAGGGAATGTTTTGATAATTTTTGATTTATATTATTCCTTGTGTTGAACTCCATTTAGAAGACATTTTTAGTTGAATCATGTTGAATTAAAAACCACCTTATTTAAAAGTGCAAGTGATATTTTATGCAGTACAACTACATTTGGTGCATGATGTTTGATATTTCAAGTATACCTCTATACCTTTCCTGAATAAAACTTCACAGAATCACAGAATGTAAAGAGTTGGAAGGGACCCACAAAAGGGATCACTGAGTCCAACTCCTGGCCCTGCACAGGACCATCCCCAGGAGTCACACCATGTGCCTGAGAGTATCATCCAAAAGCTTCTTGAACTCTGGCAGACTTGGTGCTGTGACCACTTCCCTGGGGAGCCTGTTCCAGTGCCCAACCACCCTCTGAGTGAAGAACCTTTTGAATGATTAACATGGAATAATATTAAAATCTGCTTTACAGTTTGACACACTAGTCATTTGCCTTTTCATATTTGTTTTTTCCAGCATATGCTATCCAAAGTGGGAATGTGGGATTTTGACATTTTCTTGTTTGACCGCTTGACAAATGGTAAGTAATTTTTTTAAGTCTTTAATATCTCTCATATATGACTATTCAAAAAATCCCTAATTAATTATTTGAGAAACATATTCCAGTTTAGATAACTGAAGATATATTTGCCATATTTAACTTCTCTTAAAATCATATCCTAGAACTTTATCCGGCTTTTACTGAACTAAAGGGTAATGTTTTAAGTGTGCTTTTGTATTAATCTAACCTACATTTGTTGTGCTCACCTCTTCAAGAAGGTGTTTCTGTTTCCTTTACCTGGGAAATTGCCAAGCTACTTTAAATATACCTGTTAGATACATTGGTCAATAATTCCAGATTGCTGTAATCAGTCATATTCTCTCGATACAAAAGACCTTGAAGTGAAGATACCCTTGCAGCAAAAATTAGGAAATTTATTAAGACAGTAAAAGTCTGTGAAATGTTTTCCTTAAACATGTGTAACATATACCTGTGACAAATATCTTTATCTTTCTTTGCCCCTGTTCATTAGTTAGGCCCAAATAAGTTTTCATGTCCTCTTTGTTCATATATTTATTTTTCTTTCTTGAGTTATGTGAAATAAGGGAAGACTCCCTTCAGATATTTTTTATATGAAGTATGGGTTTGGTTTGTCTGGGGTGCTTTTTCTAACTTTTCTGGAAACATTGCTGCTGAATTAAGCAGTGCAAACTTTTTAAAATATTGTGTGTGTATGTATAGTTGATCATGTAATCCTGGTTAGGCTCAATTTTGCCAGTGTTCCCAGTATTGGATTTACAGTAAGGCCAGTGTAACATTATAGCAGGACTTGAGACTGTCAGTGCTGCAACTCATTTTTCCTGTCTGCATGAGATGCAACTGAAGCTGAGCTAGGCACATGAGCTAATTACATGTTTGTACAGCCATGCATAAAATAAAATATTTAATTACAAACTGCTGCTTTTTGGTAATTAAGTACATTATGGCAAACCAAAGTGGCAGAAAAGCCATTTTCCTTTCTGCTGTTTCTAGAGGTAGACCTGAATTATGAAGATGATGTATTCTCAAACAAGCCTGTCATAAGATTTCCAGTTAAAACCATGTCAGTTTACCTTCTTCCAGTTAAAACCATAGTTTTGTTGAAACAACAAAAGTGACTTCGTGGCATCTAGACACAGTAATGGTACTCCATTGGTACAGCTGTGCCATCAACTCTTGGTTATGTATAGGAGTACCTTATATAAGTGACTTGTATGTATATATGTGTACATTTAAGCTCGTATGATAGGAGACAAGGTGGTAGGAGCTGATTAGTAGGAAATTACCAAGATTTTTAGTCGTCCTTTGTTTGTAATTCGTGTTAAGGGAATCTAAGAATTGTTCCTTTCTGCTTTTAGGAAACAGTCTCGTAACACTGCTTTGTCACCTCTTCAATGTGCATGGACTTATTCACCATTTCCAGTTAGACATGGTTACATTACACAGGTTTTTAGGTAAGTGCTCACCTCAAAGCCATCTTTGAATGAACTTTACAGCTTAAGTAGAGCATCAGAGAAGGCACTGGCTTGGTCTGTGTATCTACATAAAAATCATGATGTTGTTGCAAATATTTCAGTAAACCATTTCTATGATATATGTTGGCATACAGTTTACAGGCACTCAGGTACTTGGTTCAGTACCTAGTCAATGGAGGGACCTCAAAAGGCTCTGCATTGGGCTGAAGCATCCCAGTACCACAATCGTTCTGGTGATTTCACATAAAGTATTCAATGCAGACGTATGGCCAAGCTGTAGGCCCACACAGAGAGACAAACAGACAGACACTGCACACCGTGCTCAGTACGATTGTGGTGCAGTATAATTATTTTAGTGACTAACAGACCACTGAGACCCAGAGCAGTTGAAAGCTTATGTACAAAATTTAACAAATTATATCAAGCTGTCTGCACTGAGCAGTGTTGATGAAAGCCCCTGCTGCTGTTACTGCCAACACAGATATTAGCCCCATGCTGTCAGTGAACCAAAAGAAGAAATTGGCCAAAATCAATTACTTTTTGCATCATGTTTTGAATGCAGCTGAATGCTAGTTTGTTAAGCTGTCAGGAGGAGTTTCCAAGGCAGGGTCTCTTCTTTAGAGTGCCTAATTGTCACTTCTGGAAAGCATTCCTCTGGTATGGAGACAAAGCCATGAAGTGGACACTGGGGTAATTAGAACTAGTGGTACTCAAGAGTTCAAAGGATTACCCACTGTACCTCCAGATGCTTGTGAAGTTGGAAACAAACAGAAGGCTAGGTGTCTCTTTGGCATTCCCTGTGCTGGCAACGAAATTTGCCACGGGCAATTTGCCTGTTACCTTTCTGTTCAATTTGTTTGATACTGTCTAGGAGAGTGCTTTGGGCAAGATCACATGCAGCTTCCAGTGTTCAGATGGTGTTGTCCTGGGACCACCTGATGGTGCAGGCACTGCTGCAAGGAACAGATGGGTGTGAAGCACACACCTCAGTGATTTTCTATGCAAGTGAAAGCTGAGAGTTAATAGGTTGGTGCTCCTAATCCAGCTGGATCAGTTGCAGCACTGTAAACTAAAGCAAGAAGGACTAATATTTTAAAATGGACACATGTTTGTGCCTAAAATTATCACAGGAGATTTTGCTGTGAATACCCCAATGCTTTATCTTTTGATTCTTTGCCTGGGGATGTAGAAATGCCTTTGGCTGTAGTTCATCACTCAGATAACAAATGATGCCAGAACCTTCAGGGCCTTATTACCTGCTGCTGTAAAATAGGTAGTACTGCCTTAATGGCACACTGCTACCCTATGACAGCAGCCTAAATAATTACATGCCGTTGTGGATAAATTTGCCTCTCTTCCTTGTTTATTTTACTCCTGAATGAAAGCCTTCACTAAGGCAAGAAGGAGTTGATTTATGCACTATACCCACCATATCCCCATGGGCCTCACAAATCCTTTCATGCATTTTTTCTCTAAAGGTGTCCCAATAAGAGCAGCAATCTAAATAAACTACAACTATTTGAAGAAAGTCCTTAGACAGCTGACTGCAAAACCTCAGATTGTATTTTAAGTCCAGTTCCCACTTGTGGCCATGGCATTCAGAAACAAAAGGATCTTTGTTTTCTGTTTTGATTCCCAGTTATGGTTCAAGAAGATTACCATAGCCAAAACCCATACCACAATGCTGTCCATGCTGCTGATGTCACACAAGCTATGCACTGCTATCTGAGGGAGCCTAAGGTAATGACAACCTTTCACACTGATGTTGCTTTCAGATAATTCTCAGATTTTTTTCCCAGGATTGAAATGAAACCCCAAAAGATGTTTTTAGATAGTGAAAAGTTATTGCATGCTGGAAGTCACCAACGAGTCAAGAACAGTGTCAGCTACAGATTGCAGACATTTTAATCAAGCTACTAAAGTCACTTCTCATGCAGGCAGCACATCTAAATGGTGTCATATGAGCTCCATGCACCATGACGGTGCAGTGGCTGCAGTTTTTCTCCCATCAAACTCAGCAGAAGGCAATGCATGCCTATGCCTCAGTCACCTCAGGGCATAAGGTCCTCTCATCAGTATTGCACAATACCAGATCAGGCAGTGCCACACCATGAAAGGGCAAAACAATCCCTTCAAATGGGTGTTGCAAGGGTGTCCTCTGCACAAGTAAACAGGAGCATTTGACTGCTGCAGCAAGTCCTCACAGCATCAGGGTGTGACATTGCCTTGTGTTACTGGAAGGCATTGTGATAGTGGAGTTCTGAGCCACAGTGTAAGAACGTGACCAGTCTTTCCTGGCTTGACTTAAATGAAAGCATGTTCTGCTAGAACTAGCAGTTTGTTACCCGAGAATATAGTAATGGTAAGTGAGGACAGGAGTAGGCCCCAGATTTCCTGTATTTTCATCTCCTGCAAGACCTGCAAGTCCCTTCTGTCAGGAATTGCAGAGGACAGCCAACATCCAGAACCTGTACCATTACTGCTCTTCAGTTCTCATCTTGGGATGCTTCTTTCATCTCACAGACCTGTACTCTGTACAGACTCATCAGGCTGGTAATAACTGCTTCACTCTCAGAAACAGAAAATGCTAAGACTTCCTTTTAGTTCCTTTCAGTTATAACAAAATTTGCTTCCAGATGAGGTCTATAGCAGAAAAAAATATCTGGACAGGTTTTCGAACTTGGATGTTTGAAGTTAGAAAGCTTATATTTTCTAATAAAATACAAATACTTGAACTGAGATAGCTAACAGCCAAGTTTGAAATTTCAAAAGCTGATAAACTCTGCATTTAATAACAGTGCCATGCTAGAAAAATGAAGCCTGATCTATTGTTGACATTACTAAATACTGTGTGAGGCAGAGCTCTTACCATGTACGCTAGTGTAGCCAACCTGCCAGTATACTTGTTTAGTTTTTTAAACTGAATGTTTTAGACTGTGCTCAAGCACTTATTACAACAGTTCATATATTGCCATGAAGAGGAGATAAGAAATACAAACTGTAATAAAACATGATTATATAGTCTAATATCTTTAAAGATGTTTGTTCAACCGTCACCTTAAAAACGTTCACAAAATTTATTTTGTATTTGACATTTGCATACAAATGCCTACAAAACCAAGCAATGCCAGCTGGTTTGTTTATTTACCAGAAAAAGAAAAAGTGTCTGCTGTTCATGTTGTGATTAATGTGTGTGATGATTCAGCTTGCCAGCTTCCTCACGCCGTCGGACATCATGCTGGGACTGCTGGCTGCTGCGGCCCATGACGTGGATCACCCAGGGGTCAACCAGCCCTTTCTGATTAAAACAAAACACCACCTTGCCAGCCTGTACCAGGTAAAACTGCTCATCAAGTTGCTAGCATGTGAAATGGTGTCAAGGAGAGTTTAAGCAATTTGCAGTGAACTCTAATTCCAAAATCCGGCAGTGGGAGGATGCTGATCGAGTCATCCTGCACTTCAGAGTCTGGACAATTTCAGTTAAGCTCCTCACCAGGTGTCACTTCTTACAGCAGAGCTGATAGACACAAGAAAGAAAGTGGAAATGTCAGATTTTTTTTGAGGACATTTATCAGTTGCCTGCTGTAGATCATCTGGGGTGAGGAACTGAGGGTAGGAGATTTAAAATCACAACAAGATAATTTGTACTTCATCTTCCTTCAGTGAGCAAGTAAGCAGCAGGCATGCTCTAAATTAGCGCTGCAGTAAAAGAAACTTTGGCTTCATATGGCTGTAGTAAAATTAAATACTTAATGAACACTGCATTAAAAAAATAGAAGATAGAGGAAATCAAAGAAAAAGTTGTAGATGTTTTACAGTAATGTTCCTCAAGATATAAAGAAAAAACTTAAAACCAGCCACTAGGTCACATCACAGGCTGTCTAGACCAGTATCCTGTTTCTAAGAGCAGCCAGTAAAAGATCTCAGAGAGAAAAGTAAGTCTGGGATAAGTACAGAGCTGTCCGTCACCTGGTATACTTACTTCCAGCTTTGGCAAGCAGTAGTAGAAAACTTCTGAAACAAAAACATAGACCCTCTTATTTAATAAATACCTATGAACCCATGCTGCCTGATTTTTGTGGTCCCTTTTGAATATATTTGAGGTTTTGACCCACTTTGGAAGAGTCAGCTTCAGCCTTCAGCTTCATAATGGGGTGTCAGAAATAGAATATCCTGAGTTAAAAATTAATCTACCTGAAGACTCACTAATAGCTGTGTACCTTTCTACACATACTTGGCAAATTGAGAGATTACTGTGATGTCCTCATTACTCAGTAAGAGAGTCTGTCTTGTTTTCCTCTACTCAAGCAATGTTTGGGTTTCCCCATTACACAGTACACGTTTCATTGTGCAGTGGTGCAACTGTCCTGCCCTCAGATATGGGAATGGGCTGGACTGTGAGAGCTCCAGCTAGGACATGGTAATGCTCAAACACTGAAGACTTTGTGACTGGCCTCATCATAAACTGATGCAGCATATTATGTCACACCCATATGTGTCTGGTCCATCTTATTCCAGTCTTTTCTAAATGTCAGGCCAGCTGAGTGAGGAGAGAAAAGTCAGGGGCCTAAGCCGGGGGTCTTCGGGAATGTTATGTTAAGGGTCCTTTGAAGAGGAGTGGGGAGAGCCATTCCACAAAACCCCCTTGTCCTATTAAAGGTACAAACAATTCCTCCTCAAATTAATAGTGAGAAACAGTAGTATATAATTAGGTTGAAAAATCAGGCTAATAGAGCTAAAATATCTTGGAGAGATGGTTTCTGCTCAGTTGACTGAGCTTGAATACACTTACAAATGTTGGTTAGAAAAGGCAGTGACTGCATGAAATGCAATCTTTCAACAGCAAATGAGATTTTAAGTGCTCTACTTAGGGACATTCACTGAGAAGGTTTACTTATCTGAACTTGATCCCAGATTGTTTCCAAAGATATTAGTAGTATACAGTATATAGATGCCAGTAAAAATAACTGCTGGAAAAAAGTTCTGCTGAGAACATTTTTAGTAAAAAACTTAGATCCAGCAAATAGTCTTTAAAACATGTACTTGAACACGTGCTTGAAACTGAAACAGAAAAGTTCATGGGTTTTTGGTTTTAAGTAGCAGAACTGGTGGGATTAATCAGAAAAAGGATCAAAGAAAAGTAAATTTTAATATAGCTGGCAGTCATCTGTCAGTGGGACATTGGACTTATCCATGTATGGCATCTCTTTGCTTTTGATGGTTTGACATTTAAATTAGAACTTTACATTTGGAAGAAAGGTTTTGCAAAATGAGGTGGGTCAGTATTTGACAAAGATGCAAAGTGTTTGACAGCTTCTGAAGTGCATATATGAGAAGAGTCGTGTTTCAGGAAGATAGATGACATTACCTGGGACTTTAGAGCTGTCAATATTTATTTTCAAACTAAATCCATGTTTTATAATGCAAGACTTTGTGTTTTTGAATCTATAGGGTAATTTCCACAAGAGTCTGTTGCATGTGATTGCATGCACTTTAATATAGACGTATATAAGCTGGAAACAGGAAGTTACATTTTGGGCATCAGTTATAACAGTTCTACTTAAAAGCACCATTTCTAATTAAAGTGTCCTTTTTGGATATTTAACCAACTGCTTAATGACTAAGAATAGATGACCAGATTGAGAGAAATTCTGATCCACTTCGAATTAAAATTGCAGTTTACTCTACACCTGGTTAATGGCAAGTCTTCCTCTCTTCAAGTTACTATTCTTTTCCAAATGCATGTGTTGAGTGCAGTGGTTCAAACAAGCTCAGGTAAAGTCACAGATTGGAGATATTTTGATAGTTTGAGTAAAATAAACAGGTTTTATTTCCTCACAGCCCTGAAGTCTGTCTTTTAGCAATCCACTTGGTTTAGGCTGTAAATATGACAGGCTTCCCATAGTGCAGCCTCTAAACCAAATCTGAGCTACTAAGTTTTTAAAAAAAATAAAACACCAGGTGAAGCAGAGCTGAGAACCCTAGTCTGCAAACCAGCACACAGACTTTTCTATTCATGGGACATCTCCCCACCAGCCTAGGCCATCAGATAGCTCATGGCAATTAATTTTAATAAGGCAGTAGTGTGTTCCTAGATGGAATAGCTGATTCTACTGATTGTTGGCAGCTGCTTCAGGGATTTCTGGCTCCTTACATTTAAGAGGAGAGTCATATGACTTCATGCTCAGTTACTGCTTGTTAACTTGACCCTTCCTTTTCCCTCCTCCCTGCACTTTCAGCGTGGGAAACTGAACAGTGCAGCAGTGTCAGTTTAAGGTTCCCCCTACAGCAGCAGGCAACTTACAGAAGTGGAAACACTCTAGGATGGTTACCTGAGTTTGCTTTTGCCTTTGAGTAACTATTAATAGGATGCAGGAAAGTTCTCAGATGCTTACATGTGCAGCCCTGTTTTGGCTGGCCTTGAGTATGGCCAAAGATCAGCTGCATCCATGGAGCATAATTCCCTGGTTGAGGTAGGTGCTGGTGAAGTGGCTTAACACAGCTAGTAAGGCTGCCAGGCTGGAAGGGGTGTAGAGTCACAGGGTGCTCCAAGGGGGATGTCCCCTCTCTGGGTGTTTCAAGGGTGCAGTCAGATCAGTGTCCCAGGAACCTGTGCACACAGGCACTGCCTTAAACAAGTGTAAGCCTTCCCAAAAATCAAGGCAAAAGTGTCAGGTAAATTAGACAGGCAGGAGTCTGTCTAATTTACTTTAGGAAGATGGAAGCCTGTGCTTTTGGGATGATTCTTGGGACCAGGATTCAGCTCTGTGACTGGGTAGGAAAAAAAAATTGTTGTTATGCCCTATTACATTTCCTTATTTTTCTTGGTCAGAGTGTAGGGTTGCAGAAGTCCATCCTGATGTATTTAGGCAAAAGGAGAAAAGGGATATTTAGGTTGGCAAATGAACAGAATTGCTGTCAACAGTCATTTCGATACTGCGTAACTAATGTTGAGATCTGAGTTTGTCAGCTCTTCCTAAGAAAAGGACTTAATTTTTTGCATGGTTTGAAAGTTTTGGAGTTGACTGTACTTTGTTTCCTCCCCTCCCCACCCCCTAAGTATCCCTCATATCTGTAAGGGAAACAAACAAGCAAACAAACCCAGATAAATACCAAAGCAACATTGTTTGTGTGAATTCAAAAGCAATAAAAAGTACTACAGAAACTATTGTAATACAAACTCAATCCAAATTGTACTTTGCACTAATTTTGAGCATGAAGCTTCAAGAAAAATAAAAATGCAAATTGGATCTTGGTTACTGGCAATGTTTAATGTTTCAACAGTCATTAGATATAACAGGATTACAAAAGAGGATGGGGAAGCCTTAAGGAGAAAATACTGTTCAGTCCCTCTTGGAAAAGTGGAAGCTGTGCATCATGTCCCACAGGAAAGGCAGCGCAACAGCAGCAACTCAGACTGTGCATAAGGGAGCTGGAGATTAACAGTGTCTGGAAAGAGGGATTTTGACTCTAATTTCCCTGTTTGCAGTGACAGGGTGGGGTCCTTGCTCTGCTGCCTGCTCAAAAGGTTTGATTGTGTGTTGATTTTTTTAATCCAGTGTTTATCTACTGTAAAAGCCATAAACTGCCTAAAACCAGGGAACAGATGCTAGAGGTTCCTGAACAAGTGACATTTCTGAGGCATTTGGTGATAGAAAGTAACCCTGTGAGCTTAACAAGTGATGATTGGCAAATGCACTGCATGTTAGGATAGTAATTTCAAGTCATCAGACATAAGATATCCAATTTGTTGTAATATATTGACAACCTAGAAAGCTGGGTTTCTGTTCTCTAGCAGTTTTTTCCAACCTAACTTTGTTTCCACTTTGTTGGAAGCAAGCAAACAAAAAGGACTCAAAATTTGTTGCAGACTAAATTGCTGAAGCCTGCAAATGCTCAGCAGTACTGCTACTCCTCTTGCTTTCATTGAACAGCTGCAGGCAGCTTCCAGTTCCCTGACTCCAAGGGAAATTTGGCAGTTTAGTTTTCTTTTTCTTTTCCACTCTGCATTCAAACTGTAGAGGTTGAAAAGTCAACCCGGGATTAATAGGAGGCAAAAATATGATCTTACACTCCTACTTTAATTCATTAATAAATCTGTTAGAATGCAAGCTGCCTCCTACTCAGGCGAGATTAGCTCCTTTGTCCACAGCAGAACTCAAAAACTGTAGAACAACAGAGCTCTAGGGCTGACCTTAGCTAAGAAATCCTGAAGCACAAGGTCCTTAACTATAGAAATCTAGACCAATTACTCTAATCCAAATGTAGCTAAAAAGCACACATTTTAGACTGATTTTACTGCATGTCCAGCGAGGTTTGGGTATCATGTGATATCGGAAATCCATATCTGTACCATGGATACCTGCCTAATCCTTGAATTTATTCCTGTTATTCCTCCCTAGAACGTCTCAGTGCTGGAAAACCATCACTGGCGATCTACGATAGGCATGCTGCGAGAGTCACGGCTCCTCGCCCATCTGCCCAAGGAGGTGACGTAAGTGTCCATGGGAACAAATGCATCACTGAAACTAGTCCATGGCTTCCTTCACTCTTCTTAAAAGGACACTAGCAGAGAGACCCAGGCTTCAGAATAGGCTGAACTTCCATGGTGCCAGTATGAAATCATGAGACAAAGTTACACAGCAGAAGTATTTTCTAAGACCTAACCGCTTCTGCAGCACAGGAATGGCTACTCTCAGCACCAGGAGCATGGGGAGGCCCAGCAGAAGTGGAGCTTTTCAAATCAATTGTCGGCATTTTTCATTTTACGTAGCACCAACTGAATATGGGAAGATTTGGTGATTAAAAAGCATAAAATAGGAAATTGAAGGAGTTAGTCAGATAGCATCAAAACTGCTCAGGACTTCCACGCATGCCTGCGAAAGCATGGTCCAGCTTTTGTGGATGAAGCAAAGAAAAGCAACATGAGCACCTTGGCCAAGTTGCTGCTAGCTTTGTATCTGCTGGTTCTGTACAGTTCTAGTCCCACTGAGGAATGGAGGTTGAGCCAATGAACAGACTGCGATACTAAGTTTTAAATCTCAGGTGACCTTACCAAGAATATAAACAAGTTACCTAGAAGCAATAAGCTCTCTATCTCTCCAGAAATTCTTTGCATCAGGCAGTTGCATCCACCTTTAGTTGGACTTCAGACTTTCATAACTTTGACTGCAACTTCAAAGTTTCAGTATTAACCACTCAGCCCTGAGCAGCTCAAGTAAGACGTGAGCGTTTTTCTTGATGCATCATGCTCTTGTTTTGGGGTGTTTGTTTGTACTTTCCTAGCACTTTTCAGAAGCTTTCAGAACAACACAATGCTTATGCCAACATGCATTTTTCTTCAAACATTATCTATTCCTCTTGAACCCATTTAGGCAGGTAGAATGGTTGTGCTTGGCAAACCCCAGCAGAGACTGACCAAACAGATCAGACTGGATCCATAAAGAAAGAGGAAGCTTTATGCTAGCTCTGGTCCATATCAGGTTGTTTTGAGCTATTAATGTTCAGTGGTTCCATGATTAAAGGGGATTATTTTCTTCCATTGCAGACAGGACATCGAGCAGCAGTTGGGCTCCCTGATCTTGGCAACAGACATCAACAGGCAGAATGAGTTTTTGATCCGTTTGAAATCTCACCTTGACAATCAGGACTTGAGGCTGGAGGATGCACAAGACAGACATTTTATGCTTCAGGTAATTTCAGAAGATTTTTTTTCACTATTATTTTTATTCATTTTCCAAGTCACAGTATTTCCTGTTATATGTTGGAGTAGCATATGATGGCGTGTCTGGACATCAGCCTCTCCCTATTACCATAAACACTTTCCCTTCTGCCACCTGGCATGTAAGGCAATCATAAGGTGCCTCCAGTATTTCCTTTTGTAATTTCCTTGAGTTAAAAAGTTGTGAATGCAACAGATAGAGGAGTGTGTCAAGTGCTAAGAAATGAAGATAAGCTAGTAATTATTTCCAGAACAGTGCTTCTCTTGCCAGGTAATGCTTCGACTGTAGTGTCTCTCTCTCCACTGTTGTTATTTTCCAGCACCATGCAGGAGAGCCCCCTCGTTGGTGTGTTTTCCAGGACAGCCTGACATCAGGTATCCAAGTCCTGCTCCTGTGATGGACACTCAGAAACTGCCTCTGCAGAGACAGCTGTTGCCATGGCAGCAGATGCTTCTCTAGAGCATCTACTCAGCTAATGAAGAAACCATGCTTTATTCAAAAATCAAATAGATTCACATTGTTTCTTCCACTTAAGCTGCAGTCATTAGCAGACTCTTCAGAATAAACCTCGACCTATTAAAGCATTATCATGATTAAAGTAGCTGCATATACTTGTTTCTTTGGAGAAATTACATTAATTTCATTCTTAAGTACATAAAGAAGTTGAAGTAATCATTATCATTTATAAAACAAATAGCTACATGTTTTCCTTTTGCTGGAGTTACAGTTTCTTACTGTTGCAAGGAAAGAAGTGCTGATCTGATAATTCTTCCCCCTCCTGCTTACCTGTCCTGCATCAAACAGTCATCTGTCAGATTCCTGCATAGATCATGCAGGGCAGGATGACGGGTTTATTATATTTCTGGGCAGATTAGGCAAGAAAGTGGTGCAAATGCCAAAAGCAGAAGAATTACAGTTCTCAACTATGGCAAAAAGGTTTCTTATGTACTTCCTTGAAAATAGGAACTAGGGAACAGACATGAAGAGATTTACTTATTTGGTGGATTAGTTGTGGAAGAAGAAAAGAAAAAAATTAAGGAATCTTGATTGATTGGAATAAGCTAAACAATGTTTGAAAGGTCCTTGTAATAGACAGTAACATTAGGGCTAATCAGCTTAATCCGGAGAGAAAAGTAACTTGGAGACTTCCCTCCTCTGGTTCACAGGTCTGAATTTATACAGGAAATATTTCTTATGTTTTCTTTGCGGGTGCCAGAATGACTTCTGACTTCTGTCAGGCTAACTGACTGTGTTCATGACATGAACATCTTGTTCCAAGGCAGTAAGACAGGCAGACTACTACATGGTTTACTTTCCTGAAGCAGTTACTTGATTTTAAAAACCTCTTGCCCTCCTGTACTGAATCCCCTGCATGGCACTTAAAAGTACTAGTTAACTAAGTGAAACGAAGCCAGGGGCAGTGCTGAGAGCCCTATGCTTAGCTTTGTAAACAAAAATGTGCAGACATTAAGATGAAGTGTAATTGAAGTGAGATGCAAGGTCACTCACTGAAACTGCAGAGAAATGATGCCCAAATAGACCAGCTTGGCTCTTCCCTTCCTTGTCATCAGCCATGGATGCTGAGCCAAGCAGTCAGCAGGAGCCAGCCTGAGGCTTTTGTTGGCTTATTCCTTGCAAGGAATATCCAAAACACTTTGCAGCCTTGGAATTTGGCCCTCCTCTTGTTCTCACTACGGTAAAGCAGAGGGCTGAATGAAAGTTTTGTTTGCAGCTTAAATAAATGCTCTTTCCTCAAAGGGCACGTTTGGGTGAGGCTGAGTCTCTAAAAGGTAATCTTAAACCTTCCCAGCATTGCTGGTGAGGCCTGGGAGTTTCCTGACTGCAGATTTACTGCTGAAACATTGCTATACAGTAACTTCTTTTCTCACTCCTACTTTTCTTCTTGCTTTCAGATTGCACTCAAGTGTGCTGACATTTGCAACCCTTGCCGGCTCTGGGATCTGAGCAAACAGTGGAGTGAACGGGTCTGCGAAGAGTTTTATCGGCAAGGTCAGCCCCTTCAACTCACAGCAGTCCCCTTTTACCTCAGGTTTCCATGGTTTTTGTGTGACAAGTCAGTGGTAGCATTCAGCATAAGCCACCTTGCCTTGAAATGTCCCTTGCGGATGAGATGTTGAGAGATTTGCTGCCTCACCGGAAAAGTGGCTAGGGGCAAAAGAGCAGCAAATGTTTCTCTACCCTCACTGTTCCTCTACCACCGTCGGGGAAGAGGGATGGCTCTGCTGTGCCTCAGCACTGGAATTCAGCTGAAGAGCCCACGTCTGGATTCTTATCTGAGAGCTCTCCCGTCACCACTAGCATTTCTGAGCTGGAGCAGTGCCAGGGCCACACTGCCCCAAAATCCTACAACTGTTCACTATGTTTTATCTCACTTTTCATGCTCCCACTGTAACTCTGATGGGAGCCTCACCCTCACTGTTTCCCAAATATGACACATTCTCCTGCCTACAAATGCAGAGAAAGGGTTCAAACACGCTTCCCAGCACGCTGTTGAAAGGGCCAAAGCAGGCAAGCCAAACCTCGGCTAGAACCTATTGCAAATGTTTTCAAACCCCTGCAGAGAGCGCAGTCAGGCAGGGTTTTTTTTGAAACACAGTAATTACACCATTTGGCTCTATGTGCATAGGCAAGGTCATTCTGTGCTACAACACAGGGTGCAGCAGAGTTTAATCACTGCTAAATTCTTTGTTCAGAGCATCCCTGAGAGTTGAAGGCAAGCAGTACAAACACTAGAAAAGCACTCAATAAAATTCTCAGTTCATTTGAAATTCTGCACTACAAAATTAAGCCACATCTGAACTGGTACCTGGTACAGTTATTCCATAACAAGGACAAATAGGTCAGCAAGTTAATTTTCAGCAAGTGTCAGTTTCAGCTGGTAAGGTGTCTTTGGCTTTGATGCCTTTGAAGCAACATAAGCAACTTGCCAGACACAGGTTTCTTTAGTTAGATGTATAGTCAAGGCATAATCAACATCCAGCTCATGAGAACAGGGCCCCAGTGGTGTGGTACCTTAGTGTACGGAGGGACCGTGATGAGAAAGCACTCCCATCTCCTATAAATGTAAGCTTTTTCCACAGCCCTCAAGGTTTATTAGTCTAACATCTAAAATACACCTCTGAAAGGAGACACATGAGTATATGAGACCTGTTAGAAGCATGAAAGGGAGAAAAAGAACGTTTCATGTGGGACAATATACAGAAACTGTGGTCTGACTAGTGGCTGTATAATCCTGTTAAGTGATACAAAACCCCCCAATAATAAATAGAATGTATTTAGATACCATTATCACTTTAAAATGTTTCTGTAGACCTCCCTACCCCCTTACACCCAGTGCTGGGGCTTGAAGGTGTTTTTTGGCACTAAGTTTGACATTTGAAAACAATAGCTCTCACGTTTGGATTTTTAACTATAGATGAGACTGAGAATACCACAACTAGTGCCTTGTTTAATCTTCCCTCTGGAACAGATACAAAGGTTTAACATTTTTTGTATCAAACATTTCTAATTCCATTTTAATAGACACTCAGATCCTAATCTTCCAGTCTTCTGGTGCATCTGTTAGTAAATAAAATATTCAACCCAGGTACATTTCACAGAGCACCTGATGCTACAGCAGCTCCTAAAAACTTTTTTTAGAGAAATACTTTAACTTGTTCTCAGATGTTTTAAAAGTCAGTTAGGAAAACAAGGTAAGCAATGCAACTTGATTTATTTATATGAAACTGGAACTAGTAACAAAAAGTTTCAAGAAAATGGCTAATGTTTAAGCAACATTAATGATTCTCTTTTAGGAGGTTTTAGAATTGTGTGGAAGGTTTTATTCACCATGAAAGTTTTCAGAAACTAATTCATGCAGTTCCTTCTACAGCAACTTGAAGCATAAGAAAACTGACCGTCATTTTAAGTTCTTACCATACAAAGGAAAATCTAACTTTTGTCAAATTATTTACTTCTCAAAGACAAGATGCTGATACATTTTGATCCAGGCAGGTCAACCATTTTCAACTCAGAATACCTACAGAGGGGTGTCACTGGAGTTAGACACTTTCTTTCAGTCAGAAAGTTTTGGAAGGTAGATGAGAAGAAGACGGTCAAATTGTACATTTGGAAACATGACAAACTGTTATTTTGTGTCAGTTTTGCTAAATTGTTCCTTTTGCTGTTTATGAAGCTAAAAATCTTTCCTTGATATTTTCCAAATAGCTAATTACAACTGAAAATGCTCTGCTCACATTTAAGAAGGAACTGCATGGTGCAAGTCAGGGCTTAAAAATGCACATGGTGTTTTATATGGGGCTATAGAACCTAAGTAACACAACAGCATTTAAGTCAAAACTGTTAGTGGGGAGAAAAAAGCTTTTAAACAAGAACAGTGGGTTTAAAGCAAAATATTTCTTTATTGGGTTTTGCAGTGTTTTGCCTGAACTAGCAAGTCTTACAGGGAAGTTTTGCCTAAGCAGCCTTCACCACATCTTTATTAGTGAATCAGATGGACAAAATATTATTATCTGAGGGGAAGGGGCACACCTTAGCTTGCACACAGGTAATTCTCACTTCCCTTCCATACTATAGACAGGAAAGTAATCAGGATCGTACACTGGCAGAGAAAACTAACAATCACAAAGGATGAATGTGTTGCGCTCACAGAGTTTGTTTAAAAAACAAAAACACACCCAAAACTTAACTCACTTATAGGGATCTTTGTATGAAGTAATTGCAGTCACGAGGAAATGCCACCTCTTCAGGAGAACAAGTGACTGTTGTCTGGATGACAGTGAGCAAATGAGACTCTCTGAGATGTTTTTCTGCAGAATTCTTAAATCCAGCTGGCCCGTGGTCTTCTGTGACCACTCCAGTATACACATGGTCATTGCTACTGATTACCATCAACTCCGTAAAAAACATATCCTGTCACAGCTATATAACAGAAGACTGCCCTGTGTGACTGTTTCTGACTGTTTATAAGCATCATCTCGATGCCAAATCTGACCAATTCTGCATCAGGAGCAATCTGAGGTGGCATCTGGAGTGAGCAGATCCCCCAGCCAACTCACACTACAGTACTACTGGAGACACGTTTATTCTAAAATTTATATTCTGCAGTTTTCTATTAGGAAGACATTTGAGTAAATGAGGTAGCAAATGAAGTAAATGAACTATAGAACGTCTTAAAGGTCTTTCACATGAGAGTATTTTAAAGTCCTCAGAACACTTACATGCTCGGATTTAACATTCATTCAGAAGTTATCTTTCCTTAGATTTTTCCTTGTATGGATAATCAGTTTCTCTAATACCTAAAAAGTCCAGAAAAGGAAGGCATTTAGACATCTAACGTGGTCATCTTTGGTAGAAGATTCCAACTGCTCAAATTCACACAGTTGCAGTCATTGTAAGAGTGTGGCAAAAGTTTGGAGAAGGGATAAAAGTGGCACAAAAATATTTGCTCTTCTTTTTTCTTTGCAGGTGATCTAGAACAAAAATTTGAACTGGAAATAAGCCCCCTTTGTAATCAGCAGAAGGATACAATACCAAGCATACAGATTGGTAAGTATTTAATTCTCTTCATGCTTATCTCACTATGGCAGAAGCTCAAAGAGAAGCTTTGCTCCACCACCCGCTCCACCCCCCTTTAGTTGTTTTAACAATAAGAACCATGGATACCACAAGAGTTACGAAACATGTTCTAAAATAAAATGTTCGAAAAGAAACCTGTCTAAGCCAAATGTTCAACAGAAAGACAAAGGAGTCATTGCATAGGGGGAAAAATATCCATGCAGAGAAATTGCAGCCAATGTGTGATTAAACACTGGGTACTTTCTTGTCTGAAATCTCCTCAGAGGGATGCTGATTCTCACAGATTTTACTGTTACACATGCAGGTAAAGCCATGTCTTGTCATGTATGCTGGTCAAAAGCTGTGCATTTCAACAGGAGTCCATGTCTGTTTGAAGGTTTATTGTTACTTCTCATCAGGGCTTTTGCCACTTAACATTGCTCTCGAGGCACTCTGTGAAAGAATTTGTTGCTTACCAGGTGTCCCTTGTGTTTCCCCAGGGTTCATGACATACATCGTTGAGCCACTCTTTGAGAGGTGGGCCCAGTTTACAGGCGATACTCCCCTATCTGAAAATATGCTAAACCATCTCAGGAGGAACAAGGCCAAGTGGAGAAGCTTGCTCCACAAGCAACACAGCAGTAGTAGGAGCAATGACCACTCAGGTCAAGTGACTGGCAGCCAGGAACAGACTTTAAATGAAGAAGAGACTCCTTAGTGGCAGCTTTGTACTTTTCCTTACAGTACTGCTATCTCCGTCTTGGTCACAGCAGCAAGAAAGATCCCGAGTAGCCAGGAGCCTGTTGTCGAGACCGTGCAAAGGGAAGAAACGGCAAAGCAGAAGCTGTAAGGGTCCTCACCAACAAGCCCAAGGTTCTGCTGGCTTGCTTTCTGATCCTCACGTTCCGTTCCTCTCCCCTCTCTTCGTCCTGCGCATGCCTGATGTTGTCCGTCGCTCCTGATCGCGAACTGTCCGAATGCGGAGTCCCAGTCAGCAGCAGTTACGGCTGCCGTGAAGCAGGGAGGGTTCCTCAGAGACAGGGGAGACAGAGAGGCACTCTTGGTGATATATTCATTTCCCACAAGTCATACTGTGACATATGTATATAGGCCCAGAGCACCACACCTGCTCCAGGCTGGCAGCTGGGCTGCACATTAAACCACCAGCATCTTCGGCATCCAGAGGACACAGGCTGACAGACGGTGCTCACAGAGGGCAGAGAGAGTCTGGTTGTTTTAGTAATTAAAACAAAAACCTTTTTAACTTTTGTATTCTGTGCACTAAACAACAGATCTTAAAACCTTGGACTGAAGTTACTCTCTGTATACACGCCTCCGGTGTAACAAGGCTCATTTTGGTAATCATTTTTATGCCACTTTGGATAAAAGACGGGGCATCTTCTCATTGCAAGGAAGAGTATTCCCTTGCAACCAAAAGGGAAGGTGTAGTACAGTCTAAACCTTTGAAACACGAACAGATCTATCTTTTGAGTACTGTTTCAAGTAACCTGTTTATATTCATATGTGTACATTTTCTGTAAATACAAAGCGCTACTGATTCCCATGCCAAAATACTGGAGTACTGTGGGATTGCTACCTGTAAAAACATTGGCACTGTGAACAGAATACTGTTAGTTTTAATACAAGAGAAAGCATTTGTAAATATGGTATAGAGTTTATTAATATACACCATTGTTTGTGGATAAAAGCCTTAACTTTTAGCATCCTTCATAGCTGCCAAAATCATATGATTACAAGATGCGATTCTGAACTGCCTTTCCACTATCCAAGGTGTATCAAAGGTCATTAAGGAATGAAGTCTGGCAGGATAACTTCTTGAAAACTTCAAACACATTCCATATGGGTCCGTGTTGTTAATCCATGGCACCTTGCACATTTGGTCTAGGCAAATGTCTCACAGAGCCTGAAGTTTTAAGTTAAAAAAAAAAAAACAAACAGGCCCCACAGCAACACCACATGATTTGACAGCTCAACCTGATTACCATTCATTCAAGAGTGTGAATTTTTACTAAATAGCTTAGTGGTCTACAAAGCACGGCATTCAGTAGTTCTGGACGCCAGTTGTTTTCTCAAGAGATGTTGCAGTGTAGCTCTTAACTGTCATAGTTGCTGAGGAATTCTCTATGATCTTGTGTTTGTGAAAGATACATGGCCTTAACTATGCCATAAACAACCTCAGTTTGGAAAGTCTTTATAAAACTTAAGCTTCCATCATTTCAATGAGATTGTATTCTCAAGTGATTGTCCCCTTCTCTTCTGCCCCAAGTAAAAATAACTGCACTCAGGTGAAGCATAGTGTTGTAAACCCCCAGTACATCAAATCTGTGTAGCTGTTTTCCAAAAGAACTAAAAGGTATGGCCATATAATCATGTTTGGATGTGAATACCTTGAAGAGGCCAACAAAGAAAGAGCTGTTTAAGCTGGTGTTTGAGAAAGATATTTATATCATAAATATTTATATCGTCAAAGTGCAAGGGGAGATAGATTTCTCTCAATTACAGGGGATATTGACTTGATAAGAGAAAGTTCATGCTCATAAGGTGACTAATATGTTTAAAGGAAAATAAAAAGCATAAGTTTTAGCAAAGGATGGTTTACTCTACTAATTCTTTGTATGTATCTTCAGAGAAAGAAGCTGAAATCCAGTGAAGTAGGAAGGTGGAAAACACTGTGAGAACACAAAGCACTCCAAGAATGATGTTTTTCTTCCCCCTATACTGTTATATAAGGTATAATCAGTAGAAAATCTTTTTCCCACTTCTAAATGAGACTCACATATTAGAAGGACCACAGCAAGCAAAGAGAGAGACAGAGAGTTGTAATATAATTAAATTGTTTCTAACTACAGGACATAATTTCTTCTTAACCACCTGATGGTGGGGGCAGAAGCATCACCGTTTTGCAGCTTTTTAGATGTCTCTATCCTTCTGACAGATTTAGGACAATTATTAGGACATTACACAAGCAGTGTAATTTGCTGCTTAGAAGCACTTAAGTACATACAAAAGGCTATAATTTCCCTTGTTTTGTCTTTTTACTAAGAAACGAAAGCCCTTCTAGTTCAGAGAAATTTTTTACAATGTTCTGAAATTTAGTTAAACAAACACGGTGTCTAGCAGCATAAAAAGCTCTTGACAGAGACACTGTTGAGCTGTTTCTGAAGAGCTTCCAGAAAATAGGTCCAGCAGTTACAGCTGCATGAAACTCAAGCTCTTTTCTACAAGTGGAGCCTACAGAGTCCATTACAAGTTTGCTCTTACCAAGCTAAAACTTTTCAACTTTAAAAAGGTGCTCTGAAAATTGTGGGAAATTTTGGCACACTGATTTGCTAGATTTCATACTTGCTGGATTTCAATCACCTTGTCTAATGAAACAGTGCTTGAAATAGGTTCAGGGTGGCTCCAGCAATGCTTCTGTGCTTGTGAGTCAAAGCCATTTACACAAATTTGGGTCTAGCCAGTTTGCCTCAGGTGTTCCAGACAGAGGTGTGCTGAAAAGTTAGGCTCTGGCAGCAAATTCCTGGCACCCAAATTCACTGGGGTCTGTGATGCAAAGTGCTACCATCTGATTTCCCTTAGGAGCCAAACAATGACCGATAACAGCTGATCCAACAGCGCCAGTGTTCAGTATACGTGGTTGTGATACACTCTTGGTATTCTGTAGTTCGGAGGGCATTTCTGCAGCGGGTTTTCTCCCCAGGATGCCAACAGAAAGCTGATGCACAGAATGGAAAAACTATGCAGATAATTCAGATTTCTGTGTTGTCAGCCCTATCAGCCACTTTAGAGAAAGCCTTTGTGCGTTATTTTTCCTTCTTACTGGGCCAGTGCAGGCAACAGATTTTGAAGTTTCTTTAAAACTGAGTTAAGGTTTTCATGTATGGAAAGAAAAAGAAAACTACTAGAAGCAGGAGGTCAAAATGTTTTTATGACCCACAACTGCAATTTGTTTGATTAAAATCTAGATTCTTTAAATGAAGATTTCATACCATCAAAGAAGAAATTTGTATAATTAACAACAATAATAAGTGATGATAAGTGATAAGTGAAAATTTTAGGTTGGTTAAAATAATGCATACATATGCATTGTCGATAAGTAAAGATTTTACCTACCTTTAGGTTTTTAAGTGTCAATAGTCCAGCCACCAGCCAAATGGGGAATAAAAGGACTTTTAAAAACATGTACCTTTGGAATAAAGGAACAGAGAGAGGAGTAGCTGAAATGAAGTAGAGTCTATGGAGGAAAAAGAAAAAACCAAAACACATGATCTGCAGTTGTATCTAACCTAATCTACAACACAGGTCAATTATTTTTGTATAAACTTGTGATTTTCCTGAAGAAAACCAAGGCCTCCCCGATGATTAACAGTAGAGAAGGCTGCTACCACAGTAAATAAGATAAGCCCATTGTTACACTGCATAGCTATCCTACCAGCTTTTCCAGTCTGTGGTTGAAATTTCTGTTAGAAGTGTCTGTCAAATTAGACACAAAATACACACCAGCCCTTCCAAATGGATTCTCCTAAGAAACGAGAAACACTCAAGTAGTTACAATTTTATTTTCAGATACCAGCCATAATTTATAGCCTGATTATTTTAGGTCACTCAGCTGAGTTGTCCATAAAGTATGCCCATTCCTCTCCTGATACCACCACCCCCCACTTATGGCCCACAAAAATCAATAATTTTTAGATTTGAATTAAGATCCTGCAAATCCAAAAAAAGCCACCCTGATCAGAAACAAAACTGCAAGACAAATTTCATGCCATGAATATGTATTCAAATTACTTTGATTGGTGCAAACTGTTACTCTATTATTTGTTTCTATGATCCATCCAATATTTTAGGTACATAAACTTTTAAGTGCAGAGCGTAAGTTTGACTTGGATGTAAAATATATTCTGCTTATCTTTGAATTCAAGATTGTATATGTCATGTTTATTGTAAAGCATTTTATATATACATATTCACATATCTTATACAACTCTTTGGGCCAAACACTGGTCCCCCCAACTTCACTGGGACCAAGAATCAGCCCCCGTATGTGCGTATATATGCCATATGCATCATTCTGAAAGGAAGCACTAGGTTGTGTGAAAATGCTGTGACTGCTATGCAGTGATGCCAAGAGACTTAACTGTATCTTTTTTAACATACTGCTGTAAGTATTCATCATGTCAAAGAATGACAACTAATAAAAAAAAAAAAAATGAAGTGTCTCAAATTTTTTTGTAAAGCCAGTTGATGGAAGCATCTCCTTAGTTTGCAGAAGATATTCTGGTTTGACAAGGCAACAAAATTCCTGCTGCATCCATCCTCCCATTGTCTCTCCTTCTTAGCAACAGCATAATCCCTTTCCTAGTGCACTATTTCTGAGAAGAAGTTTTCTGTAAATTTACCCTTAGCCTTGCTGTATGAATTTAAATGGACTTAACAGCAAGAAAAGTACTTCCATTTAGTTTTCCTAAGCATGAAGTAAAAGGATTTTCAAGCCCCAGGAAAAATGTTTTCCTGTTTAAGTATTTAAAGAAGAGAGAGTTGTCTTTTACTATTGTTTCAGCTCCAGTAACGAGTTCTCCTTACTATCATTGGTCCATGTCCATTTTCTCACTTCTCAGCTTCAGGCCATATTATTTATATGTGCAACATGACAAAGGCTTTTGAAGTTTAATTGAAAATATGAGAAGCATTGATGTTCTAGACTGGTAAGTATTTCTACGTGAGAAATACTTAATATTTGTCACTTCAGGGACTTGGCTTTGACACATCTTTAAAGCCAGAATTTATTTGTACCTCAAATCTTTAGTAACAACACTCACATGGCTTGTGCCATGCAAATACTACAATTGAATCAAATATAGGAGCTGGAAATATATTTGGATTAAGTGCTATTTAGCCAACATTTTAAATTTACTTTCCTGAAAAAAAAAACCCTTCAAAATCATAGTTGAGTGTTTTCTTGTGTCCCTCAGATGCAAGCTGAATTGCAGAATGGACTCTAGAATGAAGCCCCTTAGAGATCTGTCCTGTGGACAGATGGAGTTGTGATGGTTTCTCCAGGAGTAGTTTTACACAGTCAGCATTGGAAAACCACTCAGTTTTCCATAACAGGTTTAACAGTGTTATTTTCAAGTACAGCTAAGTCAGTACATGTTTCCCCTCTGCACAGGCACTGGATGGATGGATGCTGACGTTTAATGGTTCAAAACAAATAACCTATACTAGCAAGTTGAAATGTATGAATGAACAGCAAAAGAAAAAATAGTTATATGGCAGTATTTTTGCCCTGGCCAAATACTTAACTGTGCTTTAAAGCTCAGGTGGAGAATCTTGGAGATACAACTATTCATCATGAAAAGAAACAATGCATTATGCATGTAACAATTATTTAGGTGACAGACACTCCTTTTACCTAAAGGTAAGGAAGGCAGGGTCTCTCCAATGTCCACTACAGTCCAATCCTCTAAGATAAAATGAATGCAGTTACAAAATACACTGGTTTTGGCAACAAAGCAGGTTTATGGTGTCTCTAGTTCTACTACACCTCTCTTTCAGTGATGTTGTATACAGTACGGTCTCAAACAGCTATTAAGGGACAGACAGATAGAAAATGAAACACAGGATAGGAAAAGACTTAAAAAAAAAAAAAAAGGCTCTGCCAGTAAAACCAGTGCACCACCTTACTATGTATATCCTGGGCTAGTTTGAGTCTCAGGCAGAGTTATACTAAACACTTTAATCTGTGTAAACTGAAGGTTTCTACCAGCAGCACCACCTGCTAAAAGCTACCTTGGGTGTCTATACAGGGCCGTGTAGACCAACACACACAAGGAAGTATCACAACAGCAGATACATTTCATGTCAGATTTTATAGTAAATACACTTCAGAGAGAAGATTTGAAACCTGTACCCTACAGAGCTCTAAATATATTGTACTAGATTAGGAAGGGGATCTGGGTGTCTAAAGAAGTTGTAACTAAAATGGAGTACTAGAATTCATACAGAGGAGTTGCCCTATTATTTCCACCACTCCTACCACCCAGAGATAAATTCAATGCCATCATTTGCATACCAACCATCCCTCTCTAGAAAGTGCAAGTACAAGAGTGGGAAGCGCAAAGGGTGGCAAAAAGTAATTTGAATCACAACAAACCTCCAGAGAGACAGAGGAAAAAAGACTGTAACTTCATTAGTACCATGTATGAAAAAACCCAGAACATTTGGGCAGACTGAGAGCTTCTGCTTTCCTCAAATCAAAACATAGGTAAAGCAAAGTAAAGCAGCACATGTGGAAGTTGCTGCCCCAAGAACACATTAGCATTTAACCACATAGTAAAGCTTAAAAGAACACTGAACAGTTACATGAACAAAAAGAAATTAATGGTTACAAATAAATATTACCAACATCAGAATCCTGAAGAAAATACACTATAATACTTAAATCCACTTTTAGTTTAAAATGATACTTTCCTGCCCTATTCATGCAGCTCGGCAGCTGTTCCAGTTCTAATCCAGACTTTCCATTCGTATGTGCAGAGGATTCCTATGATCTTAGCTCACTCATAAGCATATTTATAGAAGAAATACAGTTACCAAAAAGAAAGATCTAGTTCTGCACCTACACGTGCCCAGCCTCATTTCTATAGCCAGACCTACCAATACCTGCAGACAAATGCAGATGTAGTCATGTCAGGCAATCAAAATCCAAAGAAAATAGGAAGTACTGAAACATATGGTAGATTCAAAGGCAGATTCAAAAAGGAAGTGTTGTCCCAAAGATCACTTGTTTGTATCTTTCATGTTTTGCAGTGGACAAATATATTTCAAGTCAATCTTTGGAGGGAGGAGAAAAAAATAGATATACTGGTATCATCAACTGAGAGAGCAAAACATGAGTGGAATTACTTTGCTTAAAATGTACTGTTTTGCTGGGAGAAGGTTCCAACTATACAAGTACTACAGGACTTGGACACTGTCCTCTGTGGTACCTGTGCACAACACATTTATTTCCCCCAGTGTATCAAAAAAGTCACCACCACCAGTTCTACCATTTCTGTATGAAACATTGAGAAGTGGCCACTTGCACTGTGTGCTTTGAAGTACCTTTTATCAGCACTAACACTGAATTAAGATGCATGTAGATGTGTGTGCCAACTGCCAACTGTGCAGCTCTCACATTAAAACGAAATCTTCCTCAACAATGCCACTAGCTGAAGGCTGCCTATGTAAAGACAGATATTAAACAAATCAAGAAATGTAAAGAATATTTGGGATTGGGTATGTCAGCCACTCAAAACAGCTAAGTGACGCTGGCACACTGTATACTTTAGGGACATAAAGGTGTGTACAAGAGTTTTAACATAGCAAATACACTTCCATTTATCTTTATTATAGCTACAAAGATAATACACAACGAAATTATATTACCTGAAGGTATTAGTGAATTGAAGTGAAGAAACCTGGAAGAAAAAGCTGTATAGTCAACTTCCTTCTACACTCGATCCTCAAATCTTCTGTGTTTGGACAATCAGGAGCCCTATCTGGAGATGACTAAAAATGGTTATCAAGCCTCATTTTTATCTTCTTGGATCTCTTGCCCCTCGTTCCCTCCTCTGCATACCTAATTATGGTCAGCTTCTTGAAAACACCAACTAATCAGAAGCAAAAAAAAATAATAATGTGATTTGGGAAATTATGGTATTTATTATTTTTCCAATCATATGATATGTTCTTTTAAAAAGCACTGTGATTTTCCCCTTCCTCCCCACCCAAAAAAAAATGTATTCTTCCTTCTCTGAGATGTTGGATTGGGCTGGAAGAGAGAAAGTTCAGAAAGGCGGAGTATTTCATGCAAGAAAGCCATAGCAAGAAGTTCACAACTCACTTGGAGAATGCAGCAAGTAAATAAAATTCTTGTGAGCCTTCACTGTCAGCCAGACATGAGAGGGGCCTAAGAGACTTTGCTACAACTCAGAATGGTATTAAGCAGACACAAGAACTTGCATGCAAGGTCACAACCCTCTTTTTGTTTTCTGTCTTCCTTGATTATTTCTGTGTTCTCCCTTGATAACACAATGGTGGGTTTATTGTAATGAAGCCTGGCTTTTTGATTTCAAAAGAAACAGTTTCCTGAGGCTCAGATCCGCTTTAATTCCTGTACCACTTTTTATTAAGCATACTTTACAACAGTATGAAATATTTTCTTTTTTTTTTAAAGAGCATTTCAGTTTTATGGAATAGTAGTTAATAATATTGTTATTAATGTTTGCTTAGGATGGAGCATAAAAAAGCATCTGGACTTCAGCTGCATTTTGCCAAATCCTCCATCTGCCCAAGACCTAAAGATATTTCAATATAATCTTGTGTTTCCAACAGCCTCCACTGTCTTCTGAACAGTTCCACTACTTAGGTCTATATGTTGGCAGGTTTGAAATATAAACTACTAACAAAATGATCTGGCACTTTGACTATGGCAACTCAACAGTCACATTGTATGTGAAATGCTAGATAAGGGTGGAGTTTATTTACTTGCACTGTGGTTACATTTTGGAGCGCTCTCGTTATGGATCAGGACACCATAAGGGTCCCCACTGCTCCCCACCGATAAGTCTTGACAATAGAAACAATCTAAAAACAGGTTCAAGAAGAAAACAGTTCAAAAAGAAAACCACCACAGATCCTGCAGAGAGCTAGATATGAAAGGACAGCTTTTACTTCAATGAAAAAGAAGCAAAACTTCTATCGTTTTGTGGAAATAGCAAATTGATTGCCTCCAAGTACCTTAAAAAACCCTGTTCATCTTGCTGGGTTTGTGATCTTTTTTTTTTTCATTTATTCCCTCACCAATGCAACTGCAATTCTTTCTTTCTGATACTTCAGAAATATAAGATACTTTCTTTCTGTTATTAATTTAAAGGGAGAGCTTATATTATCACTCTTCAGTTACTTGACAGTTTCAAGTTTTGCCTGTGGGTGTTATATTGCTCTCAGGGACATCTTATATAATAATGCAGACATCATTTTTCAGCTGGCACAGCACATCTACAAAACTTAAATTTTACTGAGATCCATGATAGAACGAAGTCTTCTCAAATAGCTGAATATCAGCAAGGAGTTTGAATCGTCAAGAATAGCACAAGCTCCTCTCTCTGTGGAATAGTTTTGAGATTAAAACAAATATGTTACTGAGAGCTGTTCTCTTTTTAAGACAACCTATGATAAATACATTAG